ATATATATATATATATATATATATATATATATATATATATATATATCTTGAATTTTTGTTAAGAGTTATCTTATTTTAGTTATGTGTGTGCCTGGATGTGGGCACGTGCTCCTGCGTGCCAGGCTGCTAGAGGCATCGGATGCTCATGAGGCCGGAGGTACTGCCATCTGTGAGCCACTTGACGTGGGTGTTGGAAACTGAACTCTGGTCCTCTGCAGACCTGTGCCTGCTCCTAGCACTGAGCCACCTCTCCAGCCTCTCAGTTGTTTTACCAAGTGACCCTGCATCAGTTTTCACTGACAGTGAACCTAGGGATGGAATCACTGGGACAGACATTTTGTGTATGTTCTCAAATCCCGTTCTGGATTCCAAGCGCTGTTACCAAGGTCCCGCCTGACAGTGCTAAGAGTTCCCACAGCTGCCTTGGCCTTGCCAGCTCTAACTTTCCTTCTCTCCGTGGGTGGGTAGGAAGAGCACGGCTGTGTCTGACAAAGTGAAGATGTGTGTTTCCTGTGTCCACTGCTGAGTTAATGGATCTCAGCTTTGTGTTATCTCTCTGTGTTACCCACCCTTCCAAGACCCCTTTCCTGCCTGTTGGCCTGGCATGTCTGCTGGTATCCAGTTAGGAGTTTCCAGATGATGGCAAATGATACTTCCTGTGCCTGCTTTTGCCTAGGTCAACTACCGGCAAAGCATCGACAAATTGAAGTACAGCTCAGTGACAGACACACCGCAGATTGTTCAAGCGAAAATCAACGCCCAGCAAATGAGCCACGTATGTACTGCACCCCTGCCCAGCCGGGGATTCGGTAATGGCTTCGAGGTCTCTGGCACTCATGGCCCGTCCGGCTTCATCTGTATACCCTCCTACTTTCCCCTTCCCTGTTACTTTGAAGAAAATCCAAGACACCTCTAGCTTCGTCAGTAAATATTTTAGCACAAATCTCTAAAAAGTCAAAAGACTGAAGCATGTTTTTACAATTTCAGTATAGCACACCAAAAAAGCAAAACAACAACAACAAAAAAAACCCCACTAACAGTATTTCTAACTCTCACCCAGGTCTAAGTTCCAGGGTTAATTTTGAGCAGCACTCCTCACAGGTGGTATTGTGGCCTTCCACCAGAAGCCACCTGTCTGTTCAGCTCTTCTGTGCACATGTGATTTAAGATATATTTTTCAGATGCACATTTGATAAGTACACATTATCAATTATTACTCCCGATAATATTTATTTTTGGTTACTGGTGAGTGTCTAGCCTGCATATAGCAAAGCGTTCAGCACCATAGCAGGTTCAGGTTCTTGCAAACTCACAAACTTGAATGTGTGTGTGAGGTGTTTCATTTTCCAACTGACGTCTTCAATCTGTTTACTTAAAACATTCCCCCAAATTAGTTTTCTATAAAAGCTCTACCCAGGAACCCCCTCTCTGCAATGGGAACAAGAGGGAAAGGGGAAACTGAATATGCTCCCCAAGGCTCTCTTCCTGCTGTACACAAACCCAACAGGTGAATTACCGAGCTGACTACGAGAAGAACAAGCTGAACTACACATTGCCGCAGGATGCTCCTCAGATGGTGAAGGCCAGGACCAACGCCCAGCTATTTAGTGAGGTGAGAGCAGGGGGCGGCGCTGGGTGCTGGACAAGGTCCAGCAGGCAGGGCCTATGCGCCTCCCGAGGAAGGTCTTTTCTAGGGCAGTCATCACAGTTTGATGTAGGATTTTGTCACCTTTTAACACTCAGTCAGCCCCTGGGGGTGAATGAATGCAGTTCCTGTATGGATACAGGTACACGAGCCGCGCTTGCCGCCTCCTCCGCATCGTCCCGCTGACTAACTGGTGCCTTCGTATGAGAGACTCGAAGTGCCAAGAACAGTCTTGATCTGATCAGTGAAGACACAGGGGTCACAGGGTGGGCAGTGGCTAGGCCGTGGGTCTAGGTGGGGTTTATGGGGCAGCAGAAGGACAGACAGGAACTAATATTTTCTGTGATACTGCTCTGTGTTGAGGCAGAGGATATGGTGACATAAATGTGATGCGACACAGTGTGGCATTTGCACCCCCATTTGGTGGTGCAAATGGATTTTGATATGAGACAGACTTGGATTGGGACATCACATTGGACTCTCTTATCTGTATGGCCCAATCAAATATCTTCAACCTCCTGAGCCTTAGCTTGTGTGAAGATTTAGTGTTTAGGAAGGGGCCACACACACCAGCTGCTAAGGGCAACATCTTGGTAGCGCTCACCACTTTAGGATTTGCCCTCATGCTCCCCACCCATCTCACCCTTCCAGCAGCCCAAGAACATAAGATGCATTTGCAAATGATCAGCCACAGCTCAGAGGTAGTTACCCTCTGTTGCATGACCAGGCATGGAGCTCTGTTCTGTGTCCTGTCTCATGTGAGTGGCCCTAAGGGCCCATGAACTGTGCTGACGATCGCTGTCACAGCCCTGATAACATTAGCAGGGACTCTCCCGCCCGCCCTTGATAAAAGAAAACAAGTTTGCCTGAAAGAAAAATCCTCTCAACTTCGAGCAGATAGGTGGGAGCAGCGCCCGCTCACCTGTGTTTGTGCTTTCCAGGTGAAGTACAAAGAAGGCTGGCAGAAGACAAGGGGGAAAGGATTTGAGCTGAAGCTGGACGCCATGTCTCTGCTGGCTGCCAAAGCCTCGGGGGAACTTGCCAGCAGCGTAGGTTCTTCTCATTAACTCAGAAATATATACAGCGTAAGGAATGGTTCCAGTGAGGCCACTGCCTGCCGGAAAAATAATGACTGTTTTAACATGGCAAACATCACAATACTTTAATCTTCTTCTGGGTTTGGGAAAGATAGAGGGGGCACCCCCCCCCCCCCCCCGAATTGTTCTCTTTGCACTTGTGACAGGCAGAGTCCCTTCTACGGCAGTTACTCTCTTGTTCACGCTAGACTTTCTTCTTCCTCTCAAGATTAAATACAAAGAAGACTATGAAAAAACAAAAGGCAGGGTCCTGGGAACCACTGATGCCAAGCTTCTGCATTCTCTGCAGGTGGCGAAGATGAGCAGCGAGGTAAGCCTCCTTGCGCCCCCAGCTCTTGACTGACAGTTGTGCTTTAAAAGTTCCTTTCTGGCCTTTGTGTTGACTTCACCTGCAATGCTTTTCTTTTCTGGCTTACATGAGGAACTTGTTCGCTTTCTCTATTTTGCCAAAGCGTAGTGTTCTTTAAAAGGATGTGAGGTGTGTGTCCCCAGGGATGACTGTGTCTACTGACCCAGGTACACAGGTGCTTGAATGCATCTGTTTATGCCACAAATATTTGCCAACAACTTGCTGTGGGGAAAACACTGTGAGAGACTCTGGAGCCCTGAGAATGAACAGCTCGCAACAAGTCTCCCTCACAGCTTAGCTCAGAGGGGCCGCGTCCTGGCCCATCGCTCTGCTGCTAGAACAGAATGCTGGAGACAGCCCTTTATAAAGAAGGAGCTCCCATCTGTCGCATAATTCTGGAGGCTCCAAACTCCAAGGATGTGCAGCTGCATCCGTAAGGGCCTCGTGTTGCACAGGATGAAAAATGTAAAGGGGAGAGAATGTACGTAAGAGATGGCCTTGCTCTATATTAAAAACGGCTTGTTTTTAATCACCAACACCACTACCACCACCATCATCACCATCACCACGACCAACACCATCACCACCATCACCACGACCAACATCATCATCACCACTACCACCATCATCACCACCACCACCATTACCACCACCACCACCATTATCACTGCCACCACTACTGCCACCACCACCATCACCAGTACTACCACCATCATCACCACCACCACCGCCATCACCGGTACCACCACCACCACCACCACCACCATCACCACCATCATCACCACCACCATCACCACCATCATCACCACCACCATCACCACCATCATCACCACCATCACCACCATCATCACCACCACCACCATAACCACCATCACCACCACCATCATCACCACCACCACCATCATCACCACCATCACCACCATCACCACCACCATCATCACCACCACCACCATCACCACCACCATCACCACTATCATCACCACCATCATCACCACTACCACCACCCCTACTACCACCACCTACTGTTGAGGAATTAACCTCAACATAAATTTCTGTGGAGACAAATCATGTCTAGATCGCAGTAGAGAGTTGTGCAGTAAGCTTGTATCTGTTGTAATGATGTTCTGGGTGAAGCCCGTGCTCACAAGCATAGAATGTGACCCGAGTGGAGACGCAGGCTCCAGACAAACTGGCTGCTGTTGCTGGTAAATGGTTGGAATGTTCGGAGACTGACATTGGTAGTGTCACCTGTGGAAGTAGGTTGGCCACCGAGCCCCTGGGAAGGGAACATTCTACTGGAAGGGACACCCATGGTCTTCAGTCAATTCTTTCACCCATTCCGAAGCACACACAATGGACACATGAGCACCAAGTTCCTGCTTTACCCCTCCCAAGCCAAGCCATGAAGCCATGCAGCTCAGCAGAGTGGCTGAGCACTATCGCCTGAGAGGCCCTTAGGAGAGCAGGGCCGCAGTGAGTGAAGGGGGTTGGCACTGAAGTCGCACATTTAGGTGTGTCACAGAACGTGTCTTGTGAAGTGCAAGGTCACAAAGCGCGAGAATTGGAATTGGGCTTCGATTTAAATGGACAACAAATTGTTACAGTTGAGTAGCTGTGATCCAAAGACATGGTAGTCAATGATAGTGGTGGAAGAGTTAGACCCTAGAGCTCTGACTGCTTAGCGCGTACTTCTCCTACCTCTGTCCACTGTCTTTGCTGGCCATCTGCGGTTAGAACCAGCGTTACCACCGTCATCAACACTACCAACATCACCACCACAACCACCAACATCACCACCAGCCACTGACACCACCACACCAGCACAGTAACTAATCATGACCCCCACCTCCAGCACCATCGTCACCATCATGGCTTCCATGGAAACCACTGCTGTCATCCATCTCCCTTACTGCCATCACCATCATCATATTCTCATCAAGTGTGTTTGCGTGTGATGGCCCCTATTCTGAGCACATTTCTGCTACCACATTAATGCTCCTCACAACAGTTTCCTTAAGGAAAAGGAACCTGTAGGAAGGCGATTTGACTGTCCAGAGGCTGTCCAGCCGGCAAAGGGCAGAGTGGGTTTGAAGCTAGACTTTATTGTTTTGCCTCTGAAAGCCTCTACAGAAAGCATGGACGGTGCCCTGTCCTGCAACATCCATGCACAGGGTGACATTTGGTAAGAGACAGTCCTAGAGACAAGGAGTAGGGAACAGCACCAGTGTGATCTTGGGGACACTGACTTGGAGCCCACCACACAGGTGCCCACCCATAGTGCTGAACTCTTCTGAAAGCCCGAGAGTCTCTGCCACTTTCATGCCTCAGCTGCAACAGCTGCAAGAACAGCCTTTAACCAGTGAGCCTCATTTTCTTGCATTCAAGGTTGAATATAAGAAAGGGTTCGAAGAGAGCAAGACCCACTTTCACCTGCCCATGGACATGGTGAACCTCAGGCATGCCAAAAAGGCCCAAACCCTGGCCAGTGACCTCGACTATAGGAAGAAACTGCATGGCTATACCGTGCTGCCTGAAGACATGAGGATTCAGTGGGCCAAGAAGGCCTATGGGCTCCAGAGCGAGGTGAGTGATCACCTGCTGACCGCCCGCCCACATGCCTGGCCATTAGATGTGCTCTCAGAGTGACTTGAACCTGTGAGTGAGTCTGTGTATAACTCAGAGAACTAGAAAGAACCAGAGCTGCCCCAGGTCCAGGGAAGACAGATGGAGAGAAAGAAAAGCCAGGATAGTGGAGACTCGGGATGAGGTGAGGCTCAGAGCCAGTGTGAAAGTCATTATGTGCTGGAAACACGAGCCAGGGAGAAACATCTTGGAAATATTGGCCAAACCATATGAAACACTCCTTTTGGCAAGGCCAACTCAACACTAAGGTGGTACACGCTCTTCTCAGTTACAAGGCAGACCCAGGGGCTTTACCTCCCAAAGAAGGAGCTGCTGAGAATGAATGGGTGCAGCTTTCTGGGAGGACCAACATGGATTTTTCTGACTTTCCATACACTTGGTCATATCCTTATGTGTGTGTGTTGGGTGAGAATTTGGTGACTTTTCTCCTGCAGCTGCTGTACAAAGCTGACCTGGCGTGGATGAAGGGAGTCGGGTGGCTGACAGAGGGGAGTCTCAACCTAGAACAGGCCAAGAAGGCTGGACAGCTTGTCAGCGAGGTAATTGAGTGTCTGTCCCTCAGCTCCAAGGGATTCTCAGTCTCTGGGTCACAGGGCTCGGGTCCTCTCCAGTGCCCTCTCCCACCTCCAAGGCTTTATTCTGAGTAGGTCAAAGGGGAAGCCATCTTCATGCCTGTACTGTAAAGTGTCTAGAACCAGCTCCCCAGCCCCCTTAAATTTCCTGTGTGGAGCTTGAAGCTTTTGTCTTTTATTTCTGTTTTCTTGACACAAGATCTCCCTACATCATCTGACCAGGCCCAAACTGCACCCTCCTGTTTGTGCTTCCCGAGTGCTGGGATTACAGGACTCTGCCACCGTGCCCAGCCCTGGGGAGCTATTTTTAAGAAGCTTATCAATTTATTTTAAGAAGTAATCCTTTTGGGTTTTTTAAAAAGTGGTTTTTAGAGACAGGGTTTTCTGTGTAGCCTTGGCCTTTGGAGGAAGTGTGTCTCACTCTCTCTGGGGACTTGGACCGAGTCACTAAGCCTGTGGACCCTATTCTGCAGACACTTCCAGGCCCATGGTCCACACCTGTGCAGCTTGGAGAGCTGCCTTGGCAGCAAGCAGAGAAGGGCTCTGGAAGGACGTTCCATGTGGAAGTGTGACTGTCTGGAACTTTGTTTGGGATCTTCAAGGGGATTCTCGCTTCTGGGCCAGGGAGGCGGGGCCAGCACATTGAGGAGAGATAAAGTGGCCCCCGTCTGTAGACAGATAATACTTCAGATGGGATAGTTGGCTGGTCACTTGAGTGGACTGGTTCATGGTTCAGTGTATGGGTCACTATTGGCCTCTGTGCACAGACGCTGTGGCTCTGCTGTTCTAGTCCCACCTTCGACACATGGAAAGTAGACTCCAGTCACACTTCCACTCAGGAGCAGACCTACTGCATCTTCAGTGCTCAGTACTGTGACTCCTTGGTCATATCACACCCCCAAACTTTATAATTCCTCTCATCTTTCTACCTTCCTTATGCTCAAAACTATATTGGGTTTTAAAATACCTAAATGAGGGAAAGAGCAGAAGATCACCCTGAGGCTTTCGTTACCATCCTCCGAGACCTACTGAGGTCTGGGTGGATCCCGAATCAGGCGGCAGGGAGGCAGCGCCCAGGAAATTGTCCTTTCAGCCTCAGAGGTGTGGTTGTTTACCTCAAGTCCTGTGTCTACTGCCTTTTAAGCTCTTGAGGGGTTTGCTCTTTCCTGGCTTTCGGTGTGCTAGAATATAGTAGAGTGAACTCGTGGCTCCAAAGTAAGTCCTTAGGATTTACCCAGTGCCTGCACTATGCTCACTGGGAATTTCCAGCACAGACGGGTCTTGTGGCATCCCTCCAGCACATGGCAAATGAGTGTTCTCACCAACACAGGAGCCGGGGGTGGGGAGTTAGGGTCTCTTTGGAATATTGTCTCTAGAGGGTTTGTTTGTTTGTGTTTGTTTGTTGATGGCTCAGCCCATCATGGCAGGAGGAAGGAGCTCCGGCGGCTGTCACATGGTGTCCACCGTCTGGAAACAGAGAGAGGGGATGCTAGTGCACAGTTCCTTTTCCTAGTCAGTCTGGGTCCTTAATCCACGGGATGGTACCGCCCACATCCAGGTGTCTTCCCACTCCAGCTGAACCTATCTGGAAAAGCACTCAGTGGCACACCCAGAGGTACACTCAGTGACACACCCAGAGGCACACTCAGTGACACACCCAGAGG